CCTGCTTCTCCCTCTCCCACTCCCCCTGCTTGTGTTCCCTCTCTCGCTGTGTCTCTCTCTGTCAAATAAATAAAATCTTTAAAAAAAAAAAGATAGAACCAGGGCCTGACAAAATAAGCTACCAGAAACATATTTCTACTCAGGCTGTTTTAGAAGCAATAAGTTATTCCCTTCCGAACGTACTTATTTGGGGGATTCCTGAAATGAAGGAGATATTTTACTGAATGAGTTTATAAACCTGTATCCACATTAAAACTTCTGGGACGCTTTGGCTGAAGGTCTATCCCAGCAAAACAGAATCATGTGGTGGGTTAGAACAAAGACCAGGAGGATAAAGGACCTGGCTTTAAGTCCCAGGTGCGCTAGAGGCAAAGTTGTTTGCTGTTAGCAAGTTTTTTTTTACCCTCTCCCTGCCTCATTTCTTCATCTATAAAATGGGAATGAAGGTCTTGTGATAGAGCTTTTATGAAGGTTAAATTAGTTAATATGTGTAAAGTATGCTGACAACTCACATGCATTATGTGTCACTTATTTTATATGGATTTCTTCTGTGTTCTTTTAAAAGTTTTTAGAAATAAGGAATAATATTTGGGTAGGTTATGATTCTGAAAACTGCACTCTTCAGTTGTCCATATGTACAGAACACATTCCATGAAAATGCACAAGATCCACAAGGGTAAGGACATTTTATTTGTTCATCGATGATTCCCAAGCATTAGAAACAGCTAGTCTATAGTAGATGCTCCATAAATAGGTATTGAATAAAAAAATTAAAATGCCCAATTGTCCCACATTTTGAAGAACAAATAGCTGTATTTAGAATGATTCTTGTTTGTAATTATATCATTAATGATTACTGATTGTGGGATCATGATAATTCCATTCAGTCCTAAATAAAGGCTTTCTTTGTCATAACCAGAACATTTAAAATACAAGTCCTGGAAGTCAGGAACTATGCCCAATTTTTCCCTTTCTTGCTTTTAAAAAAAATCTGTACTAGAGGGTTGTATGAAAGGAGACAAGGTTAGCAATTCCCTGACAAGGAAGGAAGAAGACCTCAGGCCTGACAACACACATACTGTTAAGGCATGGCCACCTACTTTGTGGCATCTAACTATCGTTTGTTTTTTGTTTTTTTTTCTATCGTTTTTTTAAGAAACAAAACAAATGAGGGGCCCCTGGATGGCGCAGTAGGTTAAGCATTAAGAGAGAGTGGGAGAGAGTACAAGCAGGGGGAGCAGCAGAGGGAGAGGGAGAAGTAGGCTCCCCCTTGAGCAAGGAGCCCAGTGTGGGTCTTGATCCCAGGACCCGGATCACGACCGGAGCAGAAGGTAAACGTCTAACCGACTGAGTCACCCAGGCACCCTATTCTTGCCATTTTAAACACTGGGCTGATTCATTTGGTAGAGAGTGTAAACATTATGGGACACAAACCAGATATAGAGCTGGCTTATAGTAAAAAGGCTTAAGAATTTTTATTTAAATAGTAACAAAAGAAATTAGTATATAATCTGAACACTATAAACCATATATCAGTTATCAAATGGTCAAGGAGTAACCTTGCATTGATGTCTTGGTAAATCCTGGCATAGTTCTAAAATGTGTGGTTTTCTACTATGATTCCATGACTGAAATCTATCCCAACTGGATTACGACTGTTCCCCCATCCCTCCTACTTCTTGATGGATCCTATTTCACTCCACCCCCGGTGCCAAGGGAATTATGCGTTTCCAAGTAAAATTAAATAATAAGTTTGAAAAATCAGAAGTCAAATGTATAAATTGTATGGAACTTTTTCCGTTGAACCTTTGAAAATTCACATATGATACCACAAATTAACATTTCACAGTTGCCTGAACAATCATTTTAATGTAGTTAACACAGAGATGTTTGTCCCTGAGCAAGGGTCAAGATGCGGATTGGGACATCTTAGAAAATATAAGGAAGCCACTCAAAAATATTTCTAAGGCTTTGGCTAAACTCTGTGGGTTTCTGTAGGAACCCCTCATTATTCAGGCTTTGTAGCATAATGGTTACAAGAACTAGCTTTAGGATAAAAAAAAGACCTGGGTTTACTTTTTCATTTACTGTTACTTGAATCAATTATTTATACTCTCTAGGTTCAGTCTACTCATCAGTAAAAGGAAGATGTTAATCCCACTCTGTAGAGTTACTGTAATGGTTAAATGAGATAATGTATGTTCAAAAAACATGTTATTATTAATAATCACACCAACCACTCATAATATTTATCATTTATTCAAAAAATATTTAAGAAGCACCAAATATGTGCAAGGCACTGAGTTCCACCCTAGTGATGCCGACAGGGATTCCTCTAACTGTAGAAGGAAATAAACTTTTAAGGAAATGGTGCAATCAAGTATGTCAGATTGTATGATATAAGTCTGCCATGGATTCAGTGAGAGCACAAAACTTCAAGTCTATCCCGGGAGGTGGAGTCATAAAGAGGCTAACTGTATTAATGTCCCAGCAAGGGAGAGATGGCATACTCCAAGGTGTCAATGAGAAGAGTTTACCGTAAAGACTATTTACAGAGGTATGGGCAGGGTTAAGAGAACTAACAAGGATGATGAAGGCCCCTAGGATGAACAAGAGTGGGAAGAAGTATTAAACCCATAGACCGGTTTTGTTTCCAGTATCAAGGGAGAGCTGTAGCTGTGGGAGCTACGGCATTGGAGAGAAGAGCAAAGCACTACCAAACCACAGACCAGCAAGGATGAAAGCATGCAGAAACGGAGGGAATAAATACCCAGACCTCTCTCTCCTCCTGCCCTCTAATCTTCCAGTCAATGGGGCCTCCCATTGGCCAACTTCAATTGCAAGCTAGAGCTCAGAGTTGCACAGTGATGGAGGAGATGTCCCACATCAGCCCCTGGGACACAAAGCTGGGTGAGAAGCAGAACTGGAGGGGCAGATAGAAAATAACCAGCACACTCCCTGTTGATAGGAGCCTGGAAATGTGAGTAGGTGTGGCTCAGTTAGGAGGGCACTTTAGCAGATAGCACAACAAAAACAAAAACACGGAAGTGTGAGAAAACAAAACATGTCACATTAGTGGAATCAGAGTGTGGGAGGCAAGGCCAGAGATGAAGTAGAAGTCAAATCTTGGAGGGTCTGGTATGTCATGCCAAGGCACTTAGACCATACTCCACATAACGAATAACAGCCTGTGTCTCCCAAATGACAAAAGGAATCTATTGGGCGCCTGGGTGGCTCAGTTGGTTAAGCGACTGCCTTCGGGTCAGGTCATGATCCTGGAGTCCCTGGATCGAGTCCCGCATCGGGCTCCCTGCTCGGCGGGGAGTCTGCTTCTCCCTCTGACCCTCCCCCCTCTCATGTGCTCTCTCTCTCTCTCTCATTCTGTCTCAAATAAATAAATAAATAAATAAAATCTTTAAAAAAAAAACAAACAAAAGGAATCTATTGCTAATTAAGTCCATGTATGTGTGTGCATGTATGTTTTTTGTGTATGGCTGAGAACAGATCATATTGAGAAAAGCGATTCTTTGTCTGTTTCCCTACTTGAGACTCTTGGGAACCAAGGCTGCTAATACAAACCACATATGTTATGGAGGACACCGTACCATTCCTAATTATTTTAGGGTAATATATTTAGTTACACACTAAATTAACACTAATTGAAGTTGGAAGAGATTCAGGAAGCAATTAAATATTATTTGGAATTGAATGGTAGGGTAGGATATGTTGTTCTCTCAATACAGAACTCTGTTGAATGATTGCACTGAGTTAAATTGACATATTTCCCCCTGAATTCCTGCAAGCAATTCAGTCTCCTTCACTTTTTCCAAATCACATGGAAAGAAAAGGAAAGATGCTAATGTAAGTATATTTCCTTATTTAGATTTGCCCTTGCATTAGCTATTTAGACTAAAAGCCAAATTAATCTTATGGTGAAGCCTACAAACTCCAAAACACATATAATGTATCATCTGTTTTACTTTTCCTAATCTTGTCCGTGGAAATACAAAAGACCTACTCAGAAGCTTGTTTGAAGAGCAAATTGAAAAAATAATTTTTCAAATGAGCTCTTATACACTGTACATATTGTTTTTTTTTTTATCCTGTTTATGTCTTTTGTGTAAAAAGAGAGATAGAAAAATACACTAATCCAAATACACGTATTATAATTCGCAGCAGATACTTTTGAAATTTTTGTTTACAGTTGGGACTCACAGTCTGGGGCCACAGAGCAACATTTAACCCTTAACTCTAGCTCCACTGTCTACTAAAACCTGAATTAAAATCAAACTATTCCTGGATGTTTCTGTAAGTATGTTGTATGTTATAATTTAAGAGATTACCAAATTAAAACCAACCACCTGACTTTATTTTGGCCTAAGTCAATTATTATTTTTTAAGGTTTTAAAGGCAGCAGACTAGCTTAATTCCTAGGAAATATGTGACAGTATGCAAAATTCTATTTACCTTATGTAGATGCTGGAATTGAATACAATTATGTTTTAATTAATTTTTTTGCATATTAAAATAAGTGTGTGGCTTAAAACTCCAACCTGGTAATTTATCTTCTCAAAGATTTCTTGAGGGTTTGGCAGGAATCAGAGAAATAATTAAGTTACTACAGGTCTCTAGTGTACAATGACAATTTCAGAGGAAGATTTGCTCCGTCTCATGAGGGAGATTTTCTGTAGGGAATAGAACTAAGAATTACAACTCAGAGGACATAACTGCGTCAGAGGGGAAAAAGGGAAGGTTTTACTTCAAAAGGAAGATGATTAAGAAAAAGACCAGCTTCTCTGAAGCCCAAGGAAGAAGGAGACCACAGACATTGAACTCATAGCTCATTTTTTTTTTTAAAGATTTGTTTATTTATTTGAGAGAGAGAGAGAGCACATGCACAAGTGGGGGAGAGGGAGAAGCAGACTCCCTGCTGAGCAGGGAGCCCCATACCGGGCTCAATCCTAGGACCCAGGATCATGACCTGGGCCAAAGGCAGCCATTTAACCGCTTAACTGACTGAGCCACCCAGGCGCCCCATATAGCTCATTTTTTAAATATTAAAGGATTTAATCCAACAGTTACAAAATACTTAATTACATTTTAGACAGAAGGATATTTCTATCCCTTGAAAACTATTAAGTCTATTGAGAGAAGTCAAATAGTTTTAAAAAGGAGTGTGGGGCAAAAAAGGTATATCTTTTTTTGCTGGATATCTTCCATTTGTTCCTCTATATCCACCTTCCACATCTTTCTACCCTACTCTTTGCTCCTGAAGGCAGTTCTATATGGTCTACATAACAAAATTCCTCTTGCCTTCTGGCTTCTGATTGGGTTTGGCCAATGAGGAATCCAGGCAGGAGATGGGATAAGGGGAGAGGAGAGTGAGGTGAAGGTATATATTCTTCCAGCTTTTTTCCTGCAGGTTTGCTTAGGTTGGTGGTGACCCTTGGCCCAAAGTCATTGCTCCCCTCAAGGTCATGGCTCCTCTCAAGGTGGTCACTTTCCCACAATACTCCCCTTTGGCTTTCCAGTGGCTGCTCTCTCCCCTCATCCTTCAGCCATACCAGGGGTAACAACTACACTGTTACTCACCCCTGGGTTCTGAGCTACCTGTTATATTCTCCAATACCCTGTCCATGACTTTGTAAGTAGTCTTTCTGTTAAACCTTCCTTGAATTATCCTAAGTAGTGTGTGGCTTCTCTTTTGTGTTGCAGCTCAAATTTATAAAATCCACCCCTAACTCTCCTTTTAAAAATTATTCTGAACCTGGTGTTCTCAAGTCAAAAACTTTGGAGTTATTACTTAATAATGGTCAATTAATTGTCAATATTCCAAGTTGATATCATTTATGACTACTGTGCATCATTTACTAAGATATTTCTCCTCTTTAAAGGGAGAGTGCCAAGAAATATCTTAGTAAATGATCATATGGCTCCAGAGGATATTTCTGAAAGGCAAATTGTAGCAAATCCCTACTCTCCCTAAAATCCCTAGTGGCCCACCTTCACATATGAAATGATGTTGACATTCCTTGGCAGGCTGCATCAGGACCCTTCTCCAGCCCATCCTGACACGGTTTTCCCCTACCCACTCTACCTTCCAGTCACACTGAAATCACATTTCCC